CTCTCTCTCTCTCTCTCTCTCTCTCTTAATTTCTCTCTGGTTCACTTTCACATCTCTAGTCTTCCCGTCTCTCTTAACCCCACACTTTCTGTTCTCTATCTAACACTTTTTCTCGTTCACTCTCTCTATTATTTTTTTCCTTTTTGCCTTTTTCTATCTCTCTGTCTCTCTCTCTGTCTCTCTCTCTCTCACACACACACACACACACAAACACCTTTCCAGGAGGTGTAGTTCTTCTCGGTAAGAAGGAATCTTCGCAAAGCCAAATTACGTTCATTTTTGCAAGTACGTAATACATTTCCAAAAAACAAAACAAAAAAACACACCCAACGCCATTTTACATATTTTTTTATGTTTTCTTTGTCGTTATTTTTGTTGTCGTTATTGTTGTTAGATTTCCCTTCTCTTGGTATCTTATTTCTCGATTCTATTCTCTTTCTCACTTTCTTTCTCTTCTTTCCTTTTTCTCTTTCTTTATTCTTATTCCTCTCCCCCCACCTCTCTCTCTCTCTCTCTCTCGTTTTCCCTTTGTTTCTCTTTCACATCTCTAGTCTTTCCGTCTTTCTCAATCGAACACTTTCTATTCCCCATCTGACACTCTTTTCTCTTTCACTCTCTCTATTCGCTTTCATTCTCTCTGTTGCTGCCCCTCTTTATTTCACACACACACATACACACACATACACATACACATACACACACATACACACACATACACACTTTCCAGGAGGTGTAGTTCTTTTCGATAAGAAGAATTCTTCGCAAACCAAATTTTGTTCATTTTTACAAATACGTGATACATTTCTAAAGACCAAAACAAAAAAACACCCATCGCCATTTTACATATTTTTTTTTATGCTTTCTTTGTTGTTAATGTTGGTTTTCTTTTTCTTCTACAAATTTCAATCGACAAGAAAAAGAAACATTCTTTCCATATTGTAAAAAAATCCTTATAACGCTCCCCCCACCTCGTGCGTTGAAGACAAATATCTCATCCTTCCAGATGTCCTCCTTTAGACTACGTGGGTAGAGTCCATTCGCCTCGCAGATGTCTTTGAGAACAATGTCAACTGACACTAATACAATTACATAACGTTACTAGCATTCAACGCCCCAAAACCTTATAAGCAATGCATGTTAGAATAACAACTGCTGGACGGGTGGAGTCTAAATACCCTACAATGCACAGGTTTAGTGAACAGGTTATTTTTTTTATCGCTAATTAGATACGAGATCCACCAGCGTTCTCATAACTACTTTTTTCTTTTAGGGTGGGGGATCTTTTTATCCGCAAGGGTGTTTCCCAGAATCTGGCCCGGATTTCCCACATTATTGACTTGTATTAACAATGAGAGGTTTTTGGAATTTAAAATATTCGTGGCAAAACATGAGCTTCTCAAATTTTAACCCAAAAATTAGGAGAGTAAATCTGTTGGTATTTTGCTTACATATTCAAGTGCATAATCGCCTGTTCAATTTGAAAATGTCTCTCTCAGAATAATTAAACAACACATACATCGATTATAAAACCAATACATTATCTCGCCGATTAACTTGGACATGGTTAAGTGTAATTGGCAAAAAGAACAGGGTAAAATAATACTAAGCAAACACTAGATATGAAAATCAAAACTAGACAAAGTAATAAGACAAAAAATTAACAAAGTAAGAATTATGTTCATATGCAAAAGGGATACAGTCAAGTGGTTATAGCGTACTGATTTCAAGACAAGAAAGAACAAAAATATAGCGGAGGAGACCGGGAAGTGGTCCATTTTTATTGGTTGGGAAGAAATCCCAGAATGCATCTGTAGTATTTGCCTATAAATTCGGAAATAGAGTGTTTCCATAGAGATAGGAACTAAAAATGTGTCGTTTATCTGATATTTTACCTACGTATTCAAGTGTATGACGTTGTCAGCATAACGATGTTGCAAGCCATTGGAAGAAACATATTGTCCCTGTAATAATAGAATCAAGATATACTGGTTACGCCACAACGTCACTCGAGAAGACAGATGTAAACTCTCTGAACAAAGTGATATATATATATATATATATATATATATATATATATATATATATATATATATATTTTAAATCAATTAATTTATAATATATATATATATATATATATATATATATATATATATATATATATATTATAAATTAATTGATTTAAAACCATAAAAATCAATTAATTTATAATATTATGCTCTGTAAATTTACATTGAGCACTATATTGTAACAATAAAAATATCTATAAGAACACCGGATTATATATCTTACTGTTCTTTCTTTTTATTTATACATTATATATATATATATATATATATATATATATATATATATATATATATATATATATATTAGGTTTAGAATGCAAAAGTAATGACGTAATAATGTCATTTTTGACGTTAAAACATACGTCAAAAAACATTATTACGTCATTTTTTGCACTAATATATATATATATATATATATATATATATATATATATATATATATATATATATAAACATTTTACACCGCCTATTCTATGAATGACCATTCGACAATGCTGCGTCAAACCCTAAAATCAACTGGAACTACTCGACCACGCACCATATTGCCAGTCTTACGGTGTGCAATTTAAAATGTCACGTGTCCATATAAAGTTCTTTCAGACTATAAGTGTTCTTTTTTGCCATTTTCTTTAAGACTTCCTCGTTGCTTAACTCACTCCGTCAGTGGAATTCTCAGTATCCTTCTGTGGAACCGCATTTCCGTAAACTCCGGTTTTCTCCTCATCCGTAGGCAGATTTGAGGTGAAGGTTTCGTGCAGGACCGTCCACACTTTTTGAAGGGCCGAATACAGAGACCTGACGCAATACGTGCCACAGGGTCCCCAAACGACCCTCCGCAGGTTTTCAATTCAGAGTTGTCCTTCTCCTAGACCAGTTGCCATCCATAGCTATAGAACCCAGTCTGTCCTGCTATTTACCTGGAGGAAGAAGAAGAGGATTCACGCGTAAGTATTACGTATTAGCACGTAAGTGAATGTAAATGGATTCGATTGGAATTCGAACTCGGCTCTCCGATTCCTCAATCCAAGCCGATATCCATTACGCCACCGTGCCTCCTCAATATATGCGATATCCAAAATACATGGTTTTCGAATTCACATGTCCATTTTTCAAAGGTGGCGCACGCTGGGATCGACCCCTCTGGAAGTCTAGACAAATCGACCATGGTGAGATTCGAACTAGGGTCTCATGGTCAGAATGCAAATATACATACATACATGCATAAAGCAAATGGTGTCTTTCTGCCAGAGCGGGGAGAACAAATGATCGACAATTAATCTGCTTGACTTTTTGTTTATTTTTCGTTTAAGTTTGCTGTACAGCGAACGATCGCCTCATGAAAGGGAAAATAAACTCGTATCATTATTTACATTTATTCGGACAGTTATCCGCATTTTCATTGCCATATTCTCAACGTTTCGGCCGTTGTACGCTACGACCGTCTTCAGCTGATTGGACTCTTCGCTCTAGCCTAGCGGATAAAGACATTGGTTAGATCTAGTGACTAGAACAAAAGAGTTGTGAGTTCAGTATCTGGTTCCGGCAGTAGTAAACAAAAAAAAAACTTGGAGAGTTGTGTTAAAGGGAAATAACCGAGACATCCAGATGAGGCATGGCACGTGGAACTAGAAAAATCCACCCCGGTGGGCAAAATAAAGGGTTCGGTTCGAAATTCCAATCACCTGAAGAAGGCCGGAAAGTACAACAACCAAAACGCTGTGAATATGGCAAGGAAGACGAGGATAACAGTCTGAATAATGTAAATAATCATAGTACCTCGTCTCAGAGATATAGATAGATCCTGAAGAAGGCCGGAGAGTACAACAACCGAAACGTTGTGAATATGGCAATGAAGACGAGGATAACAGTCATAATAATGTAAATAATGTAAATAATCATAATACCTCGTCTCGGAGATATAGATAGATCCTGAAGAAGGCCGGAGAGTACAACAACCGAAACGTTGTGAATATGGCAATGAAGACGAGGATAACAATCTGAATAATGTAAATAATCATAATACCTCGTCTCAGAGATATAGACAGATAAACTCGTATCATTCTGGATTTCAATAGTTTAACCAGTAGCGCCCGTAGCAATGTGCAACAGTTAATCTTGATATATTGACGAACGGCGCCATATTTTCTTGGCGACCTCAGTTGTGTGGAGGTCACGTTTCTCAAGCAATGATAGCACACAATGTACAATATACACTATGTTACAGGCCTCGGACTGAAGTTGTAAAGCCCTGCCGTAACATCTGTTTGGTTAATTGAGGCGAAAAAGACCGACCGACCCGTTTCCCGTGAAAGGTGCGGGTGGTGAATAGAGTAATCTGTTTGGCGAGGTGTAAATATTAATACTTGCTTGTAATGAAACAATGTGCACAGAGTAATCGTCGCGGCTGATAAAGAAGACATTGGTTTGTTTGTCTTCTCTTTTTCTTAGATGGACAATCGCAAGACGAGCTGATCAAAAAATCGATATATGAAAAAGAATCTGAAAACGAGGCGATTCTTACTGAGTGTGTTTAAATTTTTATTCCTATTTTTCTGATTATTATTCATTTTTATCTTCTTTTTTTTTTTTCGTTACCTCTTTATTTCACTTCCTTAATTTTTTCGTCTTATTTCTTACTCGTTCGTCTCCTTCATCTCATCTTTCTTTTCATTCTTCTCCTCTGCGTTCTTTACCTTCTTCCTTCTTTCTTTATTTCTTTCTTTCTTTCTTTTTTCTTCTTCTTCTTCTTCTTCTTCTTCTTCTTTCTCTCATTTTCTACCTGTTTTCTTTCTACTACATCTTTTCTTCTTCAACCCATTTTTCTTTTTTTATCCTTCTTCATCTTTTTTGTCCTCTTCTTCCTGCAACTCTATACTACTCTCGATTATCCTTTGAAGTTTTTTTTTTCAATTTCTTTCTACCTTAATTCATTTAATGTTTTTTTTTCTCACTTCTTCCTCTACGTGTATACCTATACTTCGTCATCACAACATTTTCGTTATTCTCTCATCATCCTTATTCTACATCCGCTTAATCTTTTTTCGGCTTCCTTTTATCAGTCAACTTCATCTATGTTAGAGATGAACTCCAAGACATAGGTAAGATAGACGAGATTTTAAAGCGAGAATTCTTTTTCATTATCTTTCTTTCTTTCTTTCTTCTCCCTTCATTTCTTTCTCACGTTGTTGCTTCCCTTCTTTCTTTTCTTTCTTTGCTTCTTTCTTTCTTCTGTCTCCCTTTCTTTCTTGTCGTCTTTTCTTTCTCTCTCCCTTTCTTTCTGCCCTTCTTTTTGATTTTCTTTCTTTTTCCCTTCTTTCTGCTTTTCTTTCTTTCTTTTTTATACTCTTCCTTCCTTCTTCCCATTTTTCTTTTTCTTTCTTTATTTCTTTCTTTCTTTCTCTCTTTCTTTCTTTTTCCATTCTTTCTTTCTTTCTTTCATCCTTTCTCTTTTCCTTTCTTTCTTTCCTTCTTTCTTCTTTCTTTCTTTCTTTCTTTCTTCTTTTTCCCCTTTTTCTGCTTTTCTTTCTTTCTTTATTCTCTCTTCTTTTCTTTTCTTCCTTTCTTTTTTTCTTCTTTCTTTCTTTCTTATTTTCTTTTTTTGTTTATTTTTTGTTTCTTCTCTCTTCCTTTCTTTTTCCCTTTCTGTCTTTGTTTGTTCGTTTCTTTCTTTCTTTCTTTCTTTCTTTCTCACTCACTCTTTTCATTTTCCTTCTTCCTCTTCTCCCCATTTCCTTATATCTACAGAAATGCTCCTTGTCTCTTTCTTCTCATTCTTTCACTTCCCTTTTCTTCTTATCTTTCCTCTAGTCTGTCTCTTTGTACTTCATGTCTCTCTTTTTCGAACCAACCCGCCTATTTTTCTTCTCTTTCTTTTTCTCTCCTTTTATTTCATCCCTCGAGAATAACTGCGTAG